TATGTATATGTGTGTGTGTGTGTGTGTGTGTGTGTGTGTATATATGCAGTATATGTATATATACATATATCATCATCATCAATCAGTGTGTGTGTGTATACACATATATTGATGGTGAAGTGCCATCAAGTTGGTGTCAACAGTAGCAACCACACAGATAGATTTCCTCCAGGATGATCTGTCACCAACCTGGCCCTTTAGGCCTTCCAACAGTGTACCCATCATCATTGTACTTAAGTCCATCTACCTAGCTGTTGGTCATCCTCTTCTTTTTCTTTCCACCTTTCACAGTATTATGGATTATTCAAGAGAGCTAGGTCTTTGCATAATGTGTCCAAATATGACACAATATTACAAAATATGATAATTTGAGCCCAGTAATTTTGCCTCAAATGAGAACAAATCAAATCTGTTTGTTTTCTTGGCCATCCATGATATTCTCAGGAGTCTTCTGCAACACCAAAAGTTCAAAATTCTCAATACTCTTTCTATCCTGCTTCTTCAAAGTTCGGTTTTCAACTTCCATAGAATGTCATAGGGAAACCATTGTCTACAGTTTTCCTGTTCTTTATATTGTAGGTATAGACATATAATGGCATCTGAATATCTTTTCCAAAGCCTTCATCACTACCCTACCAGGTGCTAGTCTATGACATGTTTTGCGACTGCTAGTTTCTTTACTGTTAATAGTTGATTGCAAGAGGCAGGAACTATCCATTTCTTCAATATTTTAATTATCGATTCTAAGGCTGTATCTGTTGCTATTAATTTGATCTTCTTTATATTTAATCTTAGTCCCACTTCTTCACTGTGCTCCTTGACTTTCATTACTAGAATTTCCAGATCATTTGCATTTTCAGCTATCAGAGTAGCTTCATCAGCATCACACAGGTTATTGATGTTTCTTCCTCCAGTTTTAAAACCATTCTAATTGTCTCCCAATCCAGCTTCCCTCCATATACAGTATATTCGGCATATAGTCTGAATAAATAAAGGAAGAGTACACAGCCTAGTCTTACTCCTTTGCCAACCCAGAGCCAGTCTGTTTTGCCATAATCTGACCTGTGTAGAGGTTTTGCATAAGATTATGAAATGTTCTGGGATTTACATTTTCCAAAGCACAATCCACATCTTAACACAGCTGACACAACTGAAGGCCTTTCTATAAACAATGAAGCATGTATTGACTTCTTAGTATTTTTTGGTGTTCTCAGTTATTCAGCCTGCATCAGCAATAATGCCTTTTGTTTCCTGGCCTCTTCTAAAGCCAGTTTGAATCTCTGGCAATTCCATTTCCATGTACAATTCTTATCTGCACTGAATGATCCTAGGCATTATTTTGCTAGCATGTGAAAATAGGGGTATTTATTATTGTTTTCGCACTCTGTTAAGCCTCCTTTCTTTGGTATTGGTATGTAGACTGACCTCTTCCAGTCTGCTAGCCACTGTATTATTCTCCAGATTTACTGGCACAGTTTGGTTAGAACTAAGTACCTTCCTGAGATTTTTGTCTTTCTTGGCCACAGTTTGGTTAGAACTAAGTACCTTCCTGAGATTTTTGTCTTTCTTGGCCACAGTTTGGTTAGAACTAAGTACCTTCCTGAGATTTTTGTCTTTCTTGGCTTTGGCTTCTTTTCTTGGCAATTTCTACTGTTCCAACAATCAATTTGCTTTCTTACATTTTTTGGTCTTCAGCAGTCTCTTTTTACACCCATAACAACTTCATTGATTTCATTCTAGAGTTCCTCTGGTTCCCTATCAATGAGTTTCAGGATTTCAAAGCAATTCCTGACATTTTCTTTGAAAGATCGTATCATGGACACTGGTTGGCTTGCTTCTTCCACTTTAGCTTGACTTGGAACTCGCACATGAGCAGTTCATGATCTCTTCTACAGTCAGTCCTGGCCATGTATTTGCTGTTACAACTGAGCTCTCCTACCTCCTTGTACACTGATTTCTGCGTATCTCATCTGGCGATGTCCATGTATATATGTGTCATTTTGTTTGCTGGAAGACTATGTTAGCAATGAAGAAATTATTGGATTGACAAAAATTGAAAAATCTTGCTTCATTTCAGTTTCCTAGACCATACGGTACAATTAAACTTTCCTCCTTAATATTTCCAATTTTGGCATTCCAATTTCTAACCACAAACAGCACATTTTGCCTGCATGTTCTATCAAGTTCAGATTGAACTTTATCATAAAACTCATCAATCTCATCTTCTGCATTAGTCATTGGAGCATAAACTTGGATAATTGTGTTAAATGATTGTTCACGAAGTCTAATTGATATTATTTGGTTATTGATTGCATTGTACCCAAGTACTGTCTTTGGTATATACTTCCTGACTATGAAAGCAACACTGTTCCTTTTTGGTTTTTCATGTCCTGAGCAGTAAACAGTATGATCTTCCGACTGAAAGTGTCCGATTCCAGTCCATCTCAATTTGCTGATGCTTAAGATGACAGTGTGTAGTTGACTCATTTCATCTTTCATGGTGTTGAGTTTTCCCATGTTCACACTTCTTACATTCTATGTTCCCTCTGTAATTCTGTCTTGCAGCTTTGGATTTTCTTTTCCTATATGACAGCATCAGCAACTAGATGACCTCAAAGCTTTAATTAAGCTATGTCATAAATATCATTAGTGCTCTGTAAAACCCTTAACTCTTCCTCAATAGCATGTTGAGTGCCATCCAAACTGAGGAGCCAGTCATCCAGCACTATGTTATCACTCACTTTATATTGTCTATCCATGTTGTTTTCTTTGTAAAATACAGGAGTAATTTACCATTGCCTTCTCCTGCCCAGTGTGAAATGATGCCTTTGCCATTGTCATGAAAGTGGTCATCCCCTCCAGCATCTTCCTATATTACTACTCTCTAATATAGATGCTTGCTCCCCTCTCTTTCTCTTCCCTCTTCCTGCCTGCCACAGTTGAGACATGCTGTGTCCAGAGCTCTTCATAGATGGACAAATTCCATATTTAGGCGGTATAATTTAACAAAATACAGTATCTTCAACTTAACTTTCTCCCAAGAACCTGGTTCACCATAATACTAATGACTAATCAAAAGGAACTAAAAATGGACATGACCATTTCATATATACTAAGATCCCTGTAAAAACTCATGTCCACGTAAAGGTAAGTCGAACTCTTCATTCTAACCTTACATATCAAACTCAGAAATGAAAACAGCAGGCTAGCCCCGTCTGTCTTATGCACAGTTAAATGTCTTATTAAAGCTGATTTTCTAAAAGAGCTATAGAGAGCTGAGCTAAATAGCTTTTCCATAATGTAAGTATAACTTTTAGCAGATGCTAGAAGCCTCTGATGTTACTATAGATATTCTCCATACAGTACAGATAAGGACCCTTACATATATAGCACTGCAAATTATGACTACAATCTGAAGAAGTGACCATAAGGATGTTGTTTACAGAAGTACTGTATCTGCAAAACCTGCAGTTAACACACACACACACACTTTAGACTGGCACCAATTCTACTGACACTGAGTTCTATCAGTTATCTGAAAACTGTATTAAAGCATGTGTATTGTTTTAAAACAATTATAAAGCATTTTATTAAAAATTGTGCCATCAGTTAATGGCCTAATGGCCAGAATTTAACTTTGGGCCCAAACAAGGGATTTGGGGAAGAGATGTTTCTTGAAGCCAAATAACGGGACCTCATAGAATAGCCTTATATTAATGTAGTAGAAAGTAGAAATGAGCCAAATTGTGTTGGGTTTTAGGCAATTATTTGACAACTTGATTGTCATATAGTTTCATGACCGGCAAAAATTACAAGTATGACATTTACTGGTATAAAGATACAACAAATGAATGGACAACATGTTTTTGCTGCTTAATGAGGCTCTTCTTTTTGCAGTCCAATCACGGAGCCTGCTGTTCTATGATGAGCACAGGGGCTCCTTAGAGGAGACCTACAGCTCCTTCATTTCTGTGGAGCATCCTGAAGAATGGGAGGCTGAAAAAAATGGGGAAGAAGAGGAGCAGCCACAAGAAGACGTGCACAGTACCCTGGCTGTGGCTCATGAAACAGTCAAGTATCTGAACAAAACCCATCTTACAGGCCCAAATCAGAATCAGACCAGCTCAACTCTTACTCATCCCAAGGAAGGATTCCACGAGAGGTAAGCAGAGTTGAGATTGCTTGTATCAAGACTATCATTCCCATCTAGGCCCTAAATAGGTTTGTCTCCTTTTTTAACCAATTTCTATGCCTATGCATTCAGTGGATCTGCAGACCTCAGCAGCTAATCATGCTTGTTTCTATGCCATCAAAACCTTCATTGCTGATTTCTGCCAGTCAGTCTACTATTAAAGGCAAAGAGCAGGCTGGACTTTCTCCTTCCCAATTTCCAGCAGGGTAGCTCTATTGATCTGCTGCAGCAGAAACAACTAAGGAATTGTGTGGTACCTTGATGACTAACAAGTGCATTATGGCAAGCTCTGCACCACAAAAACTCACACTGGAATAAATTATTCTTGGTTCTTTTTCTCCAACTGTAAATTATCAGGTTCATCCCAGAATCACAGGGAAGGGAGTTCTATGGACCATGGAAACCTCAATTAACCGAGAGCAATTTTTCAGTATCTATCAAAAATATGTTAAAATCAGAGTAGACACACATATTATGATTTAAATGTATTTCAGATTGATTAGAACAGCCTTCTTCAAAGAATCTTAGGAATTACTAGCCAACTCTAGGCTCTATCCTTCCTGTCATCTGCTAATTATTTCTTTTTTTAACCATTGCCAGGAATTGAACTAGGGGCTCTTTGCATACAAACATATTCAGCTCTAGCACTGAGACAGAGCCCTGTGCTATCCAATTTGTGACAGATTATGGCAGGTATTATATATGACACTAAATATGAGACGAGGACAATGGGAAATAAGGGAGTAGATCAAGGTACTCTGAGGAACTGGAAGAGTCTTCCAAAGAATCCAAGTACTGGTGGAGGATCCACCCAAAGGTCTTTGCCTAATATGAAGAGAGAATAAGAAGTGACAAAATAGATGACTAATGTTTGGGTTTTATTTTTTTTCTGCAGAGATGGAACTTCCAGTGACACAGCTGAATATTTGTAGCAGCTGCAAGCTCTCCAGGCCTCTTCCGTCTGGATGCAGGATCCTTTCCTAGTGATGTGACTGGGGTTGCAATCCTTTGCACGCTTACCTAGAAGTAAGTCTTATTATTCTCAGAAGGACTTAGTTCTGAGTAAGCATGATTAGGATTGCAAGGGGGACGGGTTGGATTGCAGGTCTAAACTCACAGACTCATAAATACAACCTGGTGGGAATTATTTCTGAGTAACATGAACAGGCTTGCACTGTGGAAGGAGATGCCCTACCTAGACATCTCCAAGCTGGCCTTGAGTTTAGCTCTTATTCACTCAGACTTAGGCCCTGGTATCAATACAGATCTTTCTGTCAGGTTTCACAGTATTTTCCATATCAGGGATAGGACCTGGCAACATAAAAGCCTCAACCCTCTAATTTATCCTCACTTGTGATCACCATAGCCACTGGTTATGCTTTTCCCTTGATTGAAGTCTACCACATAACTGTATCATTACCAGACCATTTCTGTTTCTATGTCAGGAAAAACTTCATTCCTGTTCAGCTACTGATTTGTTCAGATTTTTACATTAGGGTTTTTTTTTTTACATAGTTGTACACTGTACAATTAAATATCCAGATAAGAGGAAAAGTCTTCAAAAGATCATTTTTGCTTATCAAATATGACATTACAAAATGAATGAGATTACATATCACATTTATGTTCAAATAAGAAAAAAAAAAGTCTTCTAAAAAGTGTTTCTCATCAACACAAATTGTAATCAGTAAAATCAGTCCTTTTCTCTGAAGATTGGAGCTGCAGTCTGAAGGTTTACTTCTGAATAAGAAGTTTTTCAAAAATTCACTGCAATCTTTGGTATTTGTTAGGTGTTTTTTAAACTTTGGCTTTCTTTTCAGATTGTCCAACAGTTTACTCCAGCCCATTTTAATGAGGTCCTTCTTTACCTTATGCTGTTCCCTTTAAAACATGAGACTACAAACTGGACAGGTCTTCATATTGACTAAGAAATTCTGTTTGGCCATGTCTACAGATGTTCCTCCTCAACATGCAGAGGGTCAAAGATAGTGGTGATCTCTATGCCCCCACCCCCACATACACATATATGCACACTTACATATAACTATTTTAATGTTTTCTGGTTGCATTTGGGACAGATAGATCAGCACATTTCAGCAATAGTTTCCATTTCAATAGTCAACATGCAGAAGTTCTTCCCAGCAATTCTTCATTAAAGTCCACTAGGACCAACACTACAGCTTTCTACCCATCCACCCCTTCAAAAATTCAAAACCAGCATAAAGAATCCCTTCTCCACAAGTGCATATCCTTGTCATCCATGCCATTAGTCATAACTTCTGAGAATTGTCCACGTGTGCCTCAAATTCATATTGTTGTACAGAGACCAAAAGCAGAAATTGTTTGTACATAATGAATCTTATTTTGTATTATTGCCAACCCTTAAGATAATGTATTTTGGAGATCTTCAAATCCTATTTTCTGTATTGTATTTTATTAAGAGTTATTGCGGGCTTTGCTTCTGTGAATTTCCTCTCTTTGCAATGTACTGTTTCCACTCGGTCTAGCAGCTGATGTTTGCCCTGTTTGTTCCTAATATATCACTCTTTTCTTCATCTCTTGGCTCTGCAATTGCTTTCAAGCAGCAAAATTAAAAAAAGATGCAGCATCAGCTCTGTTGTTCAGATTGTTCATTATTTAATTGAGAGGTTATTAGTTTAGTGAACGTTTGTGTAGCCCCGCTGTCCATCTCTGAATGGTAACAGCTATGCCCTCCCATCCTAAGCAGAGGTCTTCTACCAGAGCTAAAAGCACTTCACTAAGGGCTTGTGCAGAACTCACATTACTGAGAAATTATGATATCAGCTCCCCTCTTCAATCTATCTTTCCAATCCTGCAGCCACAGCCTGGTAATAATAAACTATAATATTATATATAATGGATGGAAGAAATCACATTGCAGGGGAGTTAGTCTTGCTCCTGGGAGAAAGCATATTTGCTTTTTAAAACAAATGAAAATATGTCTTCTAGTCATTGGGAAAACAACAACAGAAAATGTTTTGGAACGAGCTCTGCTTTGCAAAGGAAGAAGACAAGAGCTTGCTTCAATCTTGTTTCGTTCTCTTTGGGGACTACATAATACTCCACAGTTCAACCCTGAGCTACAGAGACTTTCTTCTATTGGAACTACACGATGTCTATGAACTTCAGAAGAGCTTGCTTTTATTCCTTTTTTTTAAGGTCTAGGAAAAGGCACAAGAGGTAAAGGGGAGAACTTGTGCCATCAACAGGTGCTGCCTCTGATAGCTACTCTATCAAGTGACACAGCAGTGATGGGACTGAACAGGGATAAATAGGATTTCGCCCCATTGCCCCAGCAACTTCAGCTAATGCTGGCTTCCCATTGGTGGCAGCAGCATGACCAGGGAGAAAGAAGTGGGTGTATAACTAATAGCAGATTATCTCTCAAGAAATCAAATGTGTCTAAGGGCTGTAAAAAGCCCAGTATGGAAAGGTAGTCTGTAAACTCTTTTGAGCCGTTCGCTGAAGATACAACACCACAGCATCTTGGGAATATTAAATTAAGAAGCTCGACCTGCAAATAAAGACCTGCAGATCCTGCTTCAAAATATTCAAATAACCTTTCAGCACTAAACCACCCACTAATCTAAAAATATCACAGCCTTGGGGAAGCTGCCAGCTTTTTCCATCATAAAATGTGAGCAAACCCTTGCAATCAGAGTACACATGAGGACTGTTTTTGTAAGTTGCATGATAACTGGGTGTTCATATTTTTAATTTCCTGCATTTCAAGCTCAAATGGAAAAGGAAACTATGGTAGTGATAATGAATACTCATTTTTTAAATGGCTCTTTTGCTCTTTATAGATTTCAGCATGAACAATGTTCACAGAACTGCACAGAGCCATGCTTTATACACGTCAGAGCATTTTATTTGCAGAGATATGAAAACTCACAGGGTTATCAACCACAGTTAATTAGAAACATTTATTTGAAAGTCCACTGAATTCCAGATCTAGTCCGAGATGCTGGGCTACATGGGCCCTCAGTTTGGTCCAGCAGGAATATTTTGTATTTTTGCACTCTTAAAATGGACGATGTTATTCTTCACATTTGAAAAAGCAAATGTAGGCTGGGAAGAGAACGTAGCATGCTGGCTTCAGCAGTACTCCCATGGCCAATGTAACATTTTCTTAGGTCTTTGAATCAACTTTGCTCATTCCATGGAAACAATACACTTTGATATCATGACAACTGTTCTGCACTTCACACTGAGCTTCATAAATGCTTGATTACCATGAGCTTTTGTCTAGCAGGAAAGCTCCCATGATAGGTATAAATTAGGAAGCAGCATCTAAATACTGTTAAGAAAGGGCTGTCCTGATGAGGTCCCTTCCTGTCTTAGCTCTGTGCCACTGACACCTCTACAGTCACAGTCTTTGTGGGAGTGCCTCATTCATAGTATACCTTGCAGAAAACAGGATGGCCTGGTGATCTGGGCTGATACGTTGTCGATGGCACATAAGCTAATTCTTATTTCTGTGCAGCATACACAGATATTTGGGAAGGTTTTTGTCAAGAACAGAGAGCTGATAGAGGCCACTGTAATGTGACGTCTCATTGGTATCTGAATTTGCTGTAAACATCCTCTAGTGCTGTTTTGCTGTGTTACAGTTTTCAATATAATAATACATTGGCAGGGGTCATAGATGACAAGCCATGATTGACTAGGTTCACACAATACACTAATACAAAACCAAGCTATAGTATGACTTAGCAGACGAGCCGAATCACTGTGCCAACTGTTGCTTAATATATCTCTTTTATAAACCCACATTAACACAGGCTGAGGTCACAAACTGCTAGGCAATAGATAAGGTTGAAGTGTAATATGTGAACTCAGCCCTTATAGTTTGTAAACCAAGATTTATGCTTTAGTGTAATGGATGAACTGGACCATGCTTCAACAAATCACAGTTTAGTGTAAACTGTAAACTCAACCAATGACATTCCAAAATGAAATATAGCCTTTGATGTTTACAAAAGTTGCTAATGTACCTGTATTTTTTTAAAGTATAATTGTCCTTCTTTTGTCACTTAGTTGTGTCTTGCTTGTTTAGCTAGGTTGCTTGCTAGAAATGATCACATTAATTCAGATTCACATTGGTTAAAGTCTTCTGTAACTCAGGTGATACAGAGAGAAATATCAGTACTAGACCAAATTACAATTCCCTTACTCCCTGCACCCAGATGTTAGATCCCAACAGTTCTCATTCCTAGAACTCACATCCAAATGTTCCAATTCATTATTCAAGTGCTATCTGTCCTAAAAAAAAAAAACCCTTGCCCACACATTTTTGTTTGAGCCATTATGGTTTCCATGTACTGCTGCACATACAATGGCTGTGGTTGAATGATGTGCTTACAGTAACCCTCAACTCAGTTCTTGAAGCTTATGTGACACACTGAACAATAAATTATTTACATAAGTTGTATTCTCATAATGCAAATTGTGGCTGGCCAGTTTATGTCATGCAAACCCAGGCAATGAGTTTTGAAGATGCACTATTCTCAGTTTTATTTATGGGTGCTGCTAGGGGAAAGTTCTACAATAGGCAAAGATGGGGTCATTTCTACAGACATCACAACATTTACCAGAGGAGGAATAAAAGCTGGTTCACAGATCAGGTTGGTTTATGAAGTTCATCACAGAGCAAACAAAGCTTGATACTAGGAACATGCAGTATCCAGGTTGAAAGAACAACAGTTATTGCCAATTGTTTATTGGATACAATTTATGGCTTTAAACTATAGCATGTGAAAGAGCTTTGGGTCTGAATATCTGAAGAACCACCTGTTTCATCATGAACCTTATATGGGATTTCAAATGTTCATGAATTATTTTACTGTTCACCTCCTTGAGTACTCTGTGGGTAAAAAAGTGGAAAATAAATCACAAAAATAAAATAAATGCCAAGGAGAAAATGGCAGCAAGAGGATCTAAATCTTATCTCCCTGTCCAAGACTGATGGATAGAAAAGAATTTGTTTATGGGTTTTCAACCTACACCTAATATGCTAGAAAGGAGGAAAATTAGCTCACACCTGATTCACAGATAGAAAACTGGACCAAGAAAAGCCACAACAGCCTAGCACCAGCTGTTGCCCACAAATACGTGGCCATTGATCATTAAAAACATCTCAAGTTTCTAGCACAACCTCATACTTGCAATATTTAAAGTGATATAAAAGAGAAGCCGTCCTATTTTATGGATAGGGTTCCTGGTGGAGACAGCAGTCACGTGATTTTAAGTACCATTTGGAAGATCTTTTTGCCAGCTTGTCATTCAAAACTGAACTCCCACGCCTATGAATGATGTGGACCCACATCTGGTGGTTATTAGCCCAGTTAGGATTTGAAATGTCACAAGAGCAGGGCTCATATTTTTCTCCCATGACTCCCCTGCCACCTGGGAACTTTACATTCTGAGCAGGGCTTCTCATAGTGCTGAAGATCTGCATTTATGTTGTCTTGCGGAACCAGATGGAAGGGCAGTTTTATTTCACTTCCCTTTCAACACTTAACTTTGCTCGCAAGGGATGTCATGACACCACTTTGTCTTCCCTGTTCCCGAGAAATATAAATGTTGCTGGATGGAAAAACATACACAATAGTCATGCTTGCTTTTTTCTGCCCTCCTACACCCTAGATTACTCAAAAATGAGAGGTATTCCCAACCAGTCAGTGGAACAGGGATCTGCAGAATTACCAACTAACTGAAAAGAATTTGGCTCCAGTATCTTTCACGGCAGTTTAATATTCAGGGATTATCAGAGATGAATTTTCACACCCTAGAAAGAAACTATATTGCTTTTAAAGACACAGAAGCAGACCAGGTGATTTTCTTCTGATCAGTTGGCAACTTTCTTTAAGAATTTAATAATGAACATCATTTGGCTGCAGCAATTTTCTGTGTGCTTAGCTCCACAATAACTCTGCTTGTCGCCTCCACTTTGCACTGTTCTTTTGACGCATTAAGACATTTTTATTCTTAGCTTCATAAGTCTTTTGGAAAGATTCTTGACATTCCTGTTCTGTCTTACTTCCTATATGCTGCAGAATGCTGAAAGCTGGAAACAAATAATCATATCCCTTACCTCCCAGCTCTCAGATGTCGAATACAATTAAAATGTTATTGCCCATGATATGCACAGTCAACCCACTTTGCCTCTGATGAATTGATTGTGCAATTTCGCTTCCATTTAAAAACTTAGCAAAAGGTGGTGTTTGGCCATAATGGTGGGTGAGAGGACTAAGATTCTTTGACACCACCATTCTGACTCATTCAACTTTCTTAAATGTGTGTTTAATGAGGGGGCATGTTTGGAAGAGGTGGGCAAAGATATTTAGTGTTACACTAGAATATTACAGTGAGTGGAAGAGGGAACAGAGAACAAAGGATGGATGTTGGTACACAACCAGCAGAATGAAGAAAGATAGATTAGAAGGAAAGGAGGAGTTTAAAGGAGGAGTTAGCCCCTCTCTGATGTTTCTCTTGGATGTTGGGCATTGTAGGCCAGAGGCAGGCTACATTGTTTGGGATACCACTGGAGTCCTAGCACCCAACAAGCTCCTCATCCCAATTCATGCA